CTCTGTAGATTCAGATGTTGAAGTAACAGAAGTGTCCTTTATACTAGAGCTTGATTCTATTTCCAAAGAGATACTTGACACTGAGCTCAGCGATACAGAACTGGAAATTTTAGAAAAAGCTGAACTTGAAGTAGATTCAAAACATGTGTGACAAGAAGTGGGAGCAGAAGGTTCACACTCTTCGTCGTCAACGTCATCTGAAGGCTCATTATCGCAATCATCCGATGTTTGAGGATTTTCTGTGTCCGCTGGAATCGTTGACGTTGTTACTTGGCCCGCAGAGTCTGTCTTTTCTATGACCTGGTGTTCTGTTGATAATGGACAATAAGTGGTGAAAACAGTTGATACTCCCAGCGTAATTGTAGTCACAACGGTAATTCCCGTTTCATGGCTTTTGGTTTCGCAAGAGTCTTCTGAACAAGATGTAATAACCACCGTACTTGTTTCAGGGGCATAACAGGTGGTATAATAAGTAGATGTGCCGCCGTATCTCCCATCACTACCTCCGCTTTCCTCGATACCAGCACTCAGTGAGAGATTGTGCTTGGTTGTTGCACCAGTTGCCGATGCTAAGCAAATTAAAACGATTGTATTGATAAATTTCATTTGGGTGTAAATTATGACTTAGCTCTACACTTCTTCAAAATAAGTGGATAATTGTCCCATATATATATACGTTTCAAGAATCTGCTTGATTGGCTACACTTACACACATTGATAGGAAATTTCCTATTTTAAATATGTTACTTCTTAGAATCTATTTTCAAACATGTTACTTGGTTTCTCAAAATGTATGTGGCAATGTTAGTTATTTTTAGTATACCCTTGGCAAAGAACTAGATGTCTATGTTGAAACAATTATAGAACATGCGACGATTTTGCAGCAATTCGCAGTGTTCCAGCCATCAAATTAAAGTTATAGTCTGCAACAAAAAGTTAAATCCGCGTTTCAACACATTTCAGAAATTAACCATTTATAGATCCCTGAAAGAATTCAGCCACAACCAGCAATCTGGTTGAAAAGTTGTTTTGAGATAAAATAATATCATGGTCAATGGTATATTTGGCTTTCTAGATTCAAGACAATCATCAATTATAAAAATTCGCATCTCCGGAGACAGACCGAAAGTAATGCGGTAACGAGTGTTAGTGGACCAACAACGCAAGATATTATACTACTATAATCGAAATGTAATTACAATATGTATATGAGAGGAGAGAACATACTTCCAATCATCTAATAGAATAAGGAAGGGATATCATTATTATAACAAATGTAATGAAAAAAGTTCGTATGAAAATGGGGTAAATTCGCAGAACGAGCCATTGACTGTAATGGCTGATAATTTAGAATATAGATAATATAACTGAAAAAATGGCCGATAAAATAGCAGCTGATAACGGGTCTCCGCGGATTGCAGCATCTTCGAAAGTTTCGACAGTTGGAGGACGTGCGACAGCGGATGAAGTTGTATGAGGAGGAACAAAGGAAGTCATAGTAGTGGGCTTGTTCGGAACAGGATTGGTCATAGTTGGTTTTTGATGAGCTGATTTGATGGTGGTTTTTGGTGGTGAATCAGTTGGTATTTGAGTTGATTTTACTGTAGGGTGCGTCTCTGTTTCTTGAGAAGGATGTATCGAGCTTGGAGGTGGTTGGCTATTTGTTGGAGGTGT